GAAAGTACTGCTCAAACGAGATACAGTAATTGTTTTAAACAAGCCATTCCAGTTCATCCAAAAATCTGGGCTTTATGCTGAGCCACTCTTTGTTGCTTCTGAGGTGAGTAAAATGAATATATCATATTAGACCCACAGGGATATAACTCAAATTTGAATGATTTTCTGCACCTACTGAAGGTAATATTTTCTGATGTTCTTTCTCTATACCACCAGATATTTTATCATTTCACTGATGTGATGTATTGCTTTCATAATAATATAAAAATGAACTTTTTCATGAATTTATTTTATTTTAGATTTTGAGGGTGGTATGGTGGCACAGTGGGTGGTGGCACAGTGGGTGTTGCCACCTCACAGCTCCAGGGTTCCTAGTTCAACCTTAAACTCAGGCTCCTGTTTGTGCAGAGTTCTCAATGTTCTCCGCATCTCCACAAGAGTTTCATCCAGGTTCTCTGGTTTCCTCCCACCTCCCAGAAACATTCCCATAGGTGGACTGGCCACTCTGAATTGCCCATAGGTGTGAATGTATGTGTGCGTGGTGTCCTGGGATGAACTGGCATCCCAATCAAGATGTATTCCCACTTTGTGCCAAGATTTCCTGCGATTTATAACTTGACCAGGAATCATTTATACAAAATCACTCATGACGGAACTTACTGCACATTTTTTTAAAAACACAACAGTGTGGCTATTTATATTTCATTACTAAATTAATATTACACCAATACATGTCTCCTAAAGAAAGATCATTGCATCATTACTTACATTTTCAGTCATTTGTTTTGGGCTACTTGATGTTTCATTGACTTTCTGCTGAATATGGGCCTGATGTATCTTATTTTTAGACAAGGTGCGTTAAGAGACCTACATTACATGCACCATAAAACACTTAATTAGTGTTGGCTTGCCTGTATTGTCTCTCCCTCACTCTTTTCATTAATGAGATAATCAAACTTAATCATTGTAAAACACATTGGGAAAAGGGGGACATTTTCCACCAGTACAAAATAGATTTCACCGGAAACTTTTACTGAGCCAAGATTAATCTTTAATATCCAATTTTAATTGCAAACCTAATGAGTAGAGTGAGGGATACAATGGGCTTTTATGTGTAGGATGATATGATTGTCTCAACACATATAATTGTCCTCCAAAACCAAAATACATTCAGTACTCATAGTGCACTTCATTACAACATAAGACAAAATGACATACAAAGGAACTCACATTCTCATTTTATCTAGATCCAGTGTTTCTAAGTCTGATATTATCATTATTATTATTATTATTATTATTATACAATGTCTTCACTTTGACTAAGATTTGAGTGAAGGAAGAATTTTATATGCTCCAAACACTGATTTGTCCTTATTTTAAATAAGATATTATTGAATGTGCAACCTATTTTGATTTTATATTCACTTGTAAAGATCTTTTTTCTAATATTATTTACTTCATGATTATTAACAAATAATAAATCATGGTTTAATTCACAGACCAATGTTAACTAAATAAACTGAACAAAGTTCAGTTGACTAAATATACAGTCCACATAAATTAGCAAAAATTAAATTATAGCATGCTCCTGAATGTTGAACTCTATCTTTTGAATGTTGACTGCATCTTTTTGAAGACTTGAAGAGCAGAAATTTCACATACATGCACACAATTAGTCAAACCAAAGCCATCCAGCATCTCACATCTGGATAACTGAGACAGAGATGCCCCAAAATGGCAAAAGCACTCATGAATCTCAAGTCATGCATAGACACATCCATTAGATAGCCCTAACCACATCTGGTAATTAGTGAGACAGCATAATTTTCTCATTTGTTTACTTACAGGGCTTGTGTTTCACTTGCTGAGTGATTTGTTTCTGTGATTGCTCACTCAAGCTTGTCATTTCCCCTACTGAACCATGGCTACTTTTCACTGCCAATTGCAGGCTTGTCTCCTCACACGAATAGCAATTTTCTCCGAGACGGTAATAGCATCAGGGGCCCCTGCACCACTTCCACATGATTGATGAGAGATTAAAAGGATTGTTGAGACTGACGGCACTTTTAGTGTTCTACCAGGATTCAGTATCAAGCTGCTCTGCTGGGGTTGGCGTTTCCACTATGTGAATGGGTTCTGATGCAACACAGCAGAAACACTAAGCCATTAAACTTCCAACTTAATATTCAGATATTTATCTTATCTTAAAGGATAGTAATTAGGAACTGCTATAAATTATTCAGCAACAACAGTGAAACTAATAGAAAAGATATTTAGTTACAAGAGTGCGGATTCCACTGGATTTGCTGATGTGTACTGGGAGTTTAGGAAGTTAAAGGATATCGTAACCCAGTATAATTTTTTTGAACTGTAAACACATTCATGTGAATGTTACTGTTTATCCTGTTAATTCAAGGGATTAGTTAAAAAAATGTGTAACGGTAAACATCCTTAAACAATAGCTAAACTTGCGTTTCCATCCCAATTCATGTGAAAAGTGAGGATTTGCCCCTCTTTCACATCTCTTACATACACAGTGGGTGGCACCCATTCGACTGTTGCTGACCCCAAATGTGGAAGCAGTACTGCTCATTATGGACAATTTGTAAAGATAAAGCTGCTATTCTAACACTTTTTATTTACCTGCATTTTATCTCTTCATTTACATATATAATGGTAGTTTACATATGTTAGTGTTCAATATATTGTCCAAGTTGTGAGATTTTGCCCTTTAGTGTTAATATCATTATAGCATTAGACAGCTAGTTAATGTTAGCCATGTAGCATAATCCATCCATCCAACCTCTGTACCACTTATCCTACACAGGGTCGCAGGGAGCCTGGAGCCTATCCCAGGGGAATCGGGGCACAAGGCGGGGGACACCCGGAACGGGGTGCCAACCCATCGGAGGGTACAATCACACACACTCACTACGGACAATTTAGATATGCCAATCAGCATACAACACATGTCTTTGGAATGGGGGAGGAAACTGGAGTAAGAAACCAGAGGAAACTCCCGAAGCACGGGGAGAACATGCAAACTCCGTAGGCAGGAATCGAACCCCTAGACCTGGAGGTGCGAGGCAGACGTGCTAACCACTAAGCCACCACGCCAGCTAGCATGATATTTTTCTTAATTCAAAATTCAATTTGTAAATGCAAGGGTTTTTAGTTTTGCAATTGTTGCAATTTAGTTTTACCAGATTAGTTTAGATGTATAACTACAGCATCATGGTTAAGTCTTGTGCTGTTTGGGGTAGTAACCACTTCCAGACCCTATATTTCTCCTCACCGATTCAACACAGGCTTGTTAGAAAGCAAGAGAACACACCAACATTGCCAGCCTAAGCATTTGTACCAGGTGCTTTTCTCCAAGAGTTTAGATCTATTCCATCAGACAAGATGTTGTATCAAACATTTCTCAATTTTATGAGTGTATTTATTTCTATAACTGAATTGTGTTACATTGTGTCAACATTATTTTTGTTATTTTGTTATAGAATTTTTTTTGTTGTTTACGAATACTGGCTTCCACAGTCTAGGTAGTGTCATTAGTATTCAGCCATTTAGTATTCAGCCTTTGGTTCAGTTTCCAGCTATTTAAACAGCCATGCTAGCATTAGGTTACACCGATGTCATATTTTAACCTCATGAGCAGTTTGAGAATAAGACACTGAACATCGCAGTTAAAGGACACATGTTTGACTTTCCCAGTGAAATGTATAGACAAAGCCCATTTTCAGATAATCACCACCTGTCTCAAGATTCACTTAGAGGGAGATTTACTCACTCTCAATTACTTAAAAAAGTTATCTGTGCTATTTCAGGACATCAGCTGATATATTAACAGTGATCTGCCTCTCACCCACTCCTCTACAGTCATCACATACTGCCTTTTCAGCTGCCACCTAAAGTGCATTTCTTTGTAACTGCAGAAAGGATGGGGACTAGCAGAAATTGAAGGTGGACATACTAAAATAACCTACAAGTTAGATGCAGGATTGGTCATAATCAGAGTTGGGAAGAGCTGTCAATCTCAAGAAAGGTCTATATTTATAAGGCAAATTTAGTGAATATTAAAAAAGGTCAAGGTACTGGCAATAAAATGACTGTTAAGTCTCATGAGTGCAGAGATAACTCCTAAAAGTTAGTTAGTTAAAGTTAACCCCTAACAGTTTAGGTTAGGGGTTGAAAAGAGGTTAGAACTTGTTTTTGATAGAGACTATAAAGCACTTCTGTAAGTCACTCGGGGCAAGGGCCTCTGCTAAATGATGTAAATGTAACTTTAAATGTAAAGGTTGTAACTATGAATTAATTAAGCAATATTGCATGAGCGAGAGTGAGATTATACTGAATATCGGCACAATATTCAGTATAACCGCACAATTGTGAGTGTGATATTGCTTTTATACAACAGTTCTACAAACAAAAAATTAATATCAAGTGACATTTCAGACAAAATATGGCCAAATGTTCTGTTTATTTTTGCTCTGCTAGTGGAAAGAGATCCCGAAGAAGCCACACTCAAGCCACACTTTATAGCATTTCGGCTAGCTGGCTAGCTAGCTCACGTTGTTTGTACATTCCCGGTGCTTCTGGTAAAAATGGCATCCCTTCTTCCTTTTCATCTTCATCTGATAAACTTTCATATTTTACATTAAAAATATATTTTGCCATATCCACTGATGATGTCGCTAACACTACTGTAGCAACCGTTTCAAACTAGGAAGTGGAATTTTACATGGCGAACACAAACGAGTGGAAGCACTCATGGAACGCTGCTCAACCAATCAAATTAGTGGACCAGAACTAATTGTTGTTGTGTATGTTGTTGTTCCTTTTTCAGCTGCCCCCGTTCATATATTTGATTTTGACACAGTTTTTATGCTGGATGCCCTTCTTGCCACAATCCTCCCCAATTTTTATCCGGGCTTGGGACCGAAACCGAGAGCACACTGTTGCACACTGTTGCACACAATCCCAGTGGCTGGGGTTAGTTCCCTGGCCAGGAATCGAACCTGGGCTGTGGTGATGAGAGTGCTGAGAGCCTAACCACTAATCCTCCAGGGACTCACACTGGAACTAACTGTTGTATAAAGAACAATATGTTCAGTGCTCTATGAGAAATGTCACATCTAAAAAGACAACTAAATCAATTAAAAACAATCTTTCCCCTGATTAAAAAACATGGTTTTGATCATTTCTAAATGCACACTCTCTGATATAGTTATGATCTTGTACATCATTTTAAATACAACATACCTGTAATTCTGATTAAAGTCATTAACCCAGGATTTTTCTAGCATCACACAGAATGAGTGCTAAATATGGCTTATTTGATGATTAAAATATTTTAAGGTGTTAAGAAATCATCTGACTATCTGTAAATTGTCTCTATTTTTATCAAAGCACAATTGAGCTTTTGCTGTAGTACTTGATCAAGTGAGATGTTACAGGGAAGGTGATGAGACAGTTTAATAAAGCTTTACTTGTTTTGTCACTTCACATGTTGATTAGCAGAACGAAAACGGAGATCTCATGCATAATAAGTTTGACAGGAATACAATGTACTGCACCTCCTGTGTGAAACAGCCATGATACCTTTTTATTTGTACTTCAGAAGCAATCCTGTTTAAACACAATAGACTGTAAGCAACAAAATTGAGCTTCATAAAATTAATCAAGAATATAATTCAAAATGGTGCTTACTGTGATTTATTCATTTATAAACTGCACACTTCTCAATCCAATTGCTAACAAATTATTTCATAAAAATTACTTCAACTCCAGAAAATATGGTCAGGGAAATTCAGGAAACCTATTTTCACTTTTCGGCTTATCAAGTGCTGGATAAGATCTTGTACAAGAAATGTGTAAACCAGAGATGGGAAGGAGAAAAATGCAGTTTTCAAGGATTTGTATTTTACATGAGTTTTTCTTCCATTTGGATGTGTGATGTTTACTAAACACATTTAACAAGAAACCTCTCAACTTTCGAGCTACTACACTTTATTTAAACAGATTGGCTTTATATGCTAACAAAAGGTTCTTCTGCTTCACATGTGCTTTGTGTGAGGTAGAAGAATATTTGGATACTATATAGACCTTTAATTAATTCTCTCACCAAATATTTGGCATATATATGTTTATCTGAACCACATACTTAGCTGTACTTAGTTAAATTCTAGATTGTATTGTTACAGCTAATTATTATCATTATTACACCTATACCTACACACACTCACACATCCACCCAGACAGATATATATGTAGGGGAAATTAACATTTTTTAGCTAAATGTTTTCCAAAATACTTAGTTTATATTGAAATCATTCTCATGGCTGGATCATGGATATATATGTATTTATATATATATATATATATATATATATATATATATATATATATATATATATATATATATGTGTGTGTATGTGTGTGTGTGTGTGTGTACCTTGGTTCAGAAAAAGGATGGTGTTTAACTTTCATACTTCAAGTAAATTTAAGAGTTTGTACATTTTTGCTTGTGTAATTTAACTTGAATAAGCAAGTAGAAGCTATACTTGTTAGGATGATTAGATTAGATAACCATTCCCGCTGTTACTTGAGAAAGAACAAAGTCTTAAATTTGCTAGTGAAGATGCAGTCTGGCAGTTTTTTGCCTTTTAAAGGTTCCCATGTGCTTGACCTGAGCTGCTGCTCACTGTTAGGAGGCACCGGAGATAACAACCTCTTGTCTGTCATGATGAAGTGACAACACTCAACACCCCATCCTTTTAACACAAGATGACAAGTGGTGTCACCAGCCTTTGGCTAAAGCATCGCTCCTAAACTGTATAAAGTCAGCTTTCAAATCAGCTTAGCATCGCTAACATTAATTTTTATGTAGCCCCACAGGGCAAGAGTAGTGCACCTCATGTATGTGACACGTGCAAAGACACACACATAAGACTCACACTACTGTTTTAAATAGAATCATGCTATTGTGTCTGATTCACCAAGTGTGCTGGTGTAAGGTTGCTGTTGTGGATAGGGTGTGATAAGGGGTTAGGATCAACTGAGCTTTGAGATATTCTAATTTAATTATACTTATTACTTGTTAGGGAATTGTTTGCTATTCATGTATCCTCAGCCATATTAAGAATAAAGTAATTAAACACAGGGGTCCAAGCACATTGGAATGCAGTAATTTCTATTATGATTTTTTTTCTACTTATTATTTTTCTGATTATATCCTAAAAATGATGGGATAGAAAACTCTCCAAACCTAGAAGCCTCAAATTTGGCAGAAAGATATCACCCTCCATACTCAGACAAGCCCTAAAGTCCATTTTCATATTATATATTGACTTATGAGTATTATTGGTAATTTTTTAAAATCCTAGATTCCTTGTCTTAAGGCAATAAATAAATAAATAAATAAATAAATAAATAACTTCTGCCATATTAGATTTTCTTATATTTTATATACAAAATCTACTTTTTTTTCTAATTGCATTTATGACAATATATTTAATAATACAAGACAGTTTTAGCACCTTGGTGAAATAACTAGTCTATTTAAGGAAATTGTGCACTTTTAATAATGACATTATTTTTAATATGACATACTTTGAATGTAATAATTCATTTATAGCAATGATGGTCTTGATGCTGGGCTTTAAAATAGTGCTTAGTATTCGAACGTGGCATATTTGGAATTTGTCAGTATATATTTAGGTGTGTGATGACACTGGAAAAGGAAACATTATTCTAAGGTGGATAGTATTTGATATATTAAAGTCATCAAGTGCACAAGTAGTCAGAAATCACACAAATAAGTCTTTATAAAAGAGCTTGAAACTGCAATCAGTTGAAAGACAAAAAAAAAAAAAAAAAAAAAAAACGGGAACACTTAATATATTGTAACATTTGATCATATATTTGAGTTTATACCCATGTGTACTGTGGTCAAGTTCATTAGAGCTGTGTGTTGGACTGATTTTTTTTTTTTAATTTCCAAACTCTGACAGAATGTACTCTACAGACTAACTAAAATTATATATGCAACTCACATTTTGTTTTGGTTTTTACTTCCCTCTCTTTCCGGTATGTGATTTTTGAAAGAACACAAAACATGATAAGATAGGCAAAGGCTGCACAAAATGACGAGGTATGTATTTAGACCACTGCAGAAGGAACTGGTTGGACAGTAGAAGAAAGATAATTCTACCACTGAGAAGCCAAGACACTGAAGCAGTGAAATCTCACGACAAGCATGCTCAGATCTTACAGAAGGACATGTGAGGTGCCAAAAGACAAACGGGTGTGTTCTGAACCAAGGTACAGAGATAATGTGATGCAAAGCTTCAAAACTCCGTGAGACCTGGAATGCAAGGACTCCTAGGGCTTAAAGAGTTTTTCATTTGGTCCTTGTAGCCAGTGGAAACCAATGAACTAACCTCAATAGGGGATTCACATAAGAGAACTTTGTTTCAGATGATGGGATCTCCAGAAAGAGATATCAGAAATGCAACTCCTCAAGTCAGGATGACTTGAATCTGAACAAGTTGGTATCTAGCTATTGAAGATAGCTGTGTGAAAACATCATGGTCGAGGTTCTTGGACAGGTATTGAGGAAGGGAAATAGGTCTGTAGTGTTGTAGAGAATGGAACTCATTTGAAGATAAAGGAGACCATGGGGGCAAAAAGTTATTGAGAGAATTTTAATAGGACAAACCATATGGTGGCTTCAAGCAAAAAGGACTCAAAGAGTGAGCTACTCTATCGTATATCTTGTAAGCACAATGTCCACTTTTTAGCCGTCAGGACACCCTGAGGACAACCCCCTAAATTGTGATAGCTAGGGTACACAATACCATTTAAATTACTATTCTTCAGCATCCACTTGCTCAAGGTGATATTTTGCATTCTGCATCTTTGTGCTTTTCTGAAAGGGATTGTTTTGAAGGATGACATGAACACACAAAAAAGATATCAAGACAATATCAAACAGTTTGTCTGTTCCAATTAAATTTTAGGCCAATATAGTCTAAAAGAGATATATCTTGTTTATACAGTGTCTTAGTGTAAATAGTAAATAAGACATGATAATGATGCTCATCCGAGATCTTTCATTCAGTTCTCATGAAAATTAGTATGTTGTTACAAAGCATAAACATCCACCCATCTGGCAGTGATTTCATACTCAAGACCAAGGAGTTCTTGAATCCTGATGATTGCTTCTTGCGGCTATACTTTTTTCACGGGTGTTTATATGCCAATTAGTATTTATATCACTTATATCACCATCCATCGATTGAAAATAAAAAGGAACTATCACACGCTTTGTTGAGATATTATAATCTTCAGACTATTTGTGCGGGAAGATAATGTGGACGTAAGCCTGGGAGGCACTTATTTTTCACAAACCCCTCTCCAAATTGAGTAAATTGATACACTGGCATGTACATAAAGACACAATTCTATTCACAGTGATTAAGACTTGATTCAAATGGTTATCTCACCTCATCATGCTAAAGATGACTTGATCAGCTTTGGGTCTGGCAAGTGCCCAAATTAGTTATTAATCAAGAGACTGTTCACTATGACTATAACCAAACCATAACTGATCAGTCATCTCTGGTAACATATGTGCTTGAGAATTATTTTTTTCCACACAGTAGCCATTAAATAAAAAATTTGGAATAAAATGGAGTACTAACGCCACACCATCTCCTAGCAAGCAGCTACATTATGAACACTTCTCTCAAAATTTCCTGCTGTGATAATGGGTGTAATCTAGTACGGGCATGTTAGGATCACACAAAATGTGAATCTTGGTAAAAACCTCAGTAATTGCCATTCACTGTTAACACATTAGCATTTTTTGTTCAGTGTTCCTTTTCACTACCAGAGTGATGACCACCAGTGGAGCAAGATAGGGGACGGTTGCCTTGTAAATGGCTGCAGGGTGGAACAGAGCCGTCAGGCAAAAGATGAGCGGATCATCATTAATTCTGGTTTACAGGTTTTGGACTCAGAGGACTTGACAAGGGCCACAGATGATTGCTAGACCCCAGCTGGTTCTG